GTTGATTTTTTTTTTAATTTTAGGTTTTTTGGGGGGTTTTTAATTGTTGTTTTTTTGTTATTTTTTTTAAACTAGCACTGCAGGCAGCAGTGCCCATGGGCAGAGGGGTAAACTGTCAGCCTGATGCTCCTGTCGGCCAGCCCCTCACAGCGGAGCAGAGACCGGGGAGCGAGAGGGCGCCCTGGGGGTGCGGGCGGAGAGGCGGGGGCTCAGAGCTGGTGCAGGACAGCGTGTTCCCAGGGCTCATGGGGAAGGGTCGCTGGGACCCTCCCCAGGGGACGTCCCCAGCTTGCAGCCCAGCCCAGCTCTAGCCTCCAGGTCCCCACCGCACACCCCACCGCCCTTCCCACACCGGCTCCGGAGCCCGGGCTGTAGGGACAGGCACATCGCTGGGTGAGCGGAACCGCTCCAGCCCCCCACTTGCTGCTGGTCTCCCACCGCCCGCTCCCCGCAAGGAACAGGAGTTCGCGCCCGCCCGGGGCACTGCGCCCCTGGGGAGCAGGTCTCACTGAGAGGAGGGGTAAGATGAAGGGCCCCGGACCCACCAGCGGAAATAGGCTGTCCCCGCGCGGGCGGGGCGGAGGCGCCGGAGCTGGGAGCGCAGGCAAAGTGGCCGCAGCTCCGCAACTTCGCTGGGCAGCCAGCGGGCAGGGACAGTGCTGCCACCGCAGCCTCCCCGAGCGATCGCCAGAACTGGGTGCTGATCTGGCACCCCAAGAGCTGCTGCAGCCCAGCCGGAGGGGGACAGGGCGACTGTGGCCAGGAGGAGCCGGCAGGGCGGGGAGCGCAGCCCCAGGGCACCAGCCGAGCCCCAGAAATCCGCCCTCCGCGTCCTCGGTGGCGCCTTTGCGAGGGGGGCGCCCGCACTCCCCCCAAAGCCCACTCGCCATCCTCGGGGGCCACCAACTATTCTAGCAGCCGCGGGAGGAAGAGGCAGCGGAAACAGAGAGAGAGAGGAGAGCCAGAGAGCCGGCGGCGCCCGAGGGGAAGGCAGGACGCCCGCCCGCCCCAGGACCACGTACCTTGAGCTCCTCAATGTCCAGGTTTGTTGATCTGTCCATGGAGCGCAACTAGAGGAAGTGGCGAGGAACCGGGCCGGCGGTGCCCAGCAACAATCTAGTCTTTCAGTTTCCAGCCTAAACTCAGCTTTATCCTCCTCCAAGCCCTGGCAGCCCCTCTCAGTCTCATTCTCCGTGGTCGCGCCGCCTCCACCGGGTTAAGAAACAATCAACAATAAACGAATAAATAACAATTAGAATGCACTTTGTTTTACTTCCTCGCAGGAGATTTTGGTGGACGGGTGATCTTGACCGCGGAGCAACCCAGCTCAGTGGGATCCGGCAAAGGGGAGACCTCCACTCTGTTTGGAGATGATTTCCTCTCCTGCAATGAGCTCAGAGACCCGCGAACTGCTGCTGCATCCCCAGAAAAAGAGCTGCTTCCCTGGACAGCATCCTGCGGCAAACAGCAAGCAAATGTGTTCAAAGTGCAGGGGAGAGTCTCTGATGAAAGCCTTCCTCCCTCCACCAGGCTGCCTCCCGGTCTCTGATTCCGCACCCGGGAGTCCCGAGCCCGAGCGTTAGCAGCGATCAGTGTCCCCGGCGCGATCACCCAATCCCCGAAGAAGTCCTGCCCAGACCTCGCAAATGCCTTGCAGCTATGAGGTGTTCCCTCCGTGGAGAAAAGATCCTAAAGTCTGGGGGGGATGTTCCCCTTGGAAGGTTATGCTCTAAGAGTTGGGAGAATAGGAGGTGGCTCCCAGGGAGGAGAGGGAAGGGAGAGAGAGAGAGAGGGAGAGAGAAATTGTCCTCCCCGCTTTGCTGTTTTACTGGCCTTCGCCACCAGGTGACTGACTTCACTTCTCTCTTCCCACAGCCGGCACGAAGGGGATTGCTCTCCTCTGTCAAAAGCCACAGCTCCTCTCCGAACACCGTGCTGCTGGGTCTTAGAGACTGCCCTCTGCCCGGGATCCTCTGGCAAGCATTTTCATTCCTGTCACATGTGGCCTCATCTTATTCTCACAGATCTGGGAGGAACATGTGTGTGTCTGTGTGTGCCTCTCACACAATGGATCCCCTTCCCATCTCTGTGGCTTACAGTGTCGAGGGATTTTTTGGTTTTAACTTAAGACTTTTAAGGAAAGTGACAAATAGAAATAGTAAAGGAAATGTCTTGCAGGGATGCTTTTTATGGGGAAGCAATCTTTTTTTGGGGGGAAATTTTCTCTAAATAGGCGGTGACTCTTCAGTGCTCTTAACTTGTAGGGTGTGCATTTGGAGGAAAAGGCTCATTTTCTTCATTTAATGCCTTCGTGTAAAAGCTTGGCTTCTGGAGGGACTTCAACAGCTTCCTTTTATTTTGTTATGGCACATAGCGAGGGAGACATTAAAATGTTTCTCCATTCAGAAAATGAGCTGAGTAAATTATTGAATTTGTTTGTTAAAAATATATATATCTTTTTCCCCCCAGGTGTAGATGTTTACCATCAGTCTCTGGCCTTCCTCTCTAAATTCATCTTTGCCTTCCTCCCTGCCTGTGACCCAGCCACATAATCTACCCCTCCACCTGCCTTTTCTTCTGCCACTGACTCTTGTCCCTCCGTCAAGCCAGCTCTCTGTCCCTCCTTAAAAGTTTAACCCCTAAAGGCATCTCTTCAGAGAGTATTTTCCTCTTGTGAGTCCCTCAGATATCTTCCTGCTCTGTCCTCTCTTCATGGCAGTCAATTCACTTTATCACTATTTAATGTATGCATCTGTTATGCTTGTTGGTCTAATTCTTCCAGTCACTATAAGCTCCAGAAGGCAAATTCTGTACCTTTCTAATTCAGCAATATGTCCAACAGTCTAGTACGTAACAAGCACACCAATATGCCTGGAATGGATAAATATGTGTGGGAAGAAGCTTTACCAGTTATTTTAATCTCTAAAAACCTCCATGACTTCTTCCCCCTTCAACACACGAGTGCCAGTTGATCCCCTCCTAGTCAGCAGCTAAGCCTAGAGTGGTCAGCGTTATAACCAAGCATACAGAGTTCTTTAGTTTAAACCTAGTCTCTTCCACAAATTTATCAAAGCTAGCTTCCTGTCAAACTTCCACTTGTATCTACAGCTTTCAAGGTTAACACCAAGTAGACAACAGTCCATAATTAGTAGAGATGAACATCAAATTCTCAAAATAAATGTTAAATATTCACCTTACATAATTATTTTACATAATATATAATAAAATATAAGGTTGCAGGTTGAGAATAAATGAATTTATATAAAATGTATAATGCTTAAAAGGCTTCTTTTCCAGAAATTATTAATAATTCAACATGGATAACATAATTACATATGTATTTTAAAAGTTAAGTTTCTTCATAAAAAGTAATTTTACATCCCCTATCAGCTTGTTACCGCCTAACTTTAGAAAATTGAATATAATAAGCCAATTTACTTTGAGCACATTAACAAAGTGATACTATCTCTAAAATAACTTTAAAATCTGCAACTGTGAAAATACAGCTTAAGAAAGATAGCTCCAAAGTAAGCAATAATGTTTTGCTTGCTCAGGTAGTTCAGTTGGTTGGAGCACCGTCCTGTACACCAAAAGGTTTCGGGTTTGATTTCCAGGCAGCATATAACCTAAGTTGCCAGTTCGATCCCCAGTTGGGCATGTATGAGAGACAACTGATTGATGTTTCTTGCTCACATAGATGGTTTCTTTCTATCTCTCTTTTTCTCTCTTTCTCCTTCCTGATCCCTCTAAGATCAATAAACATATCCTAAGGTGAGGATACAAAAATTAATAACCAATGATGTTTAAACACCATTCAGATTAAGCAGACTCCAGATAGTTTCTTAGTATGGCATAAAATTATAGTTGGATGAAAAGTGATATTGTACTTAATAATAAAGGCAAAGCTTAACCATATTTTTTAAAAGTTATGTACATATACACATATGTATATAACTGAGTGGCCAGATTAATATGACCACCTGACATTTGTAGGCAACTTAGCTATAATTTCGTGCTGAAGTGGCTAGAGGGTCAGACCATTACAAATAGGGAAGAAGGTTGTTTACCACGACAGGAGATGTCTATGAGTAAAGCCATCTGGGAAGCAGAGGTAGGGTTCGAGCTACAACTGAAGAATTTCTGTGATTTTGTTCGTAATCTATTTTAAAATATTCACTGAGTGGCCAGATTATTATGACCACCTGACATTTGTAGGCAAATTAGCCGTACACTGCATCATATGGGATATGGAAGCTGAAGGCCTGTTCAAACACCTTTGCTGTCTGCAATTACCAAGATAAAACGTCTCCAATTCCTACAGGAACACAAGGACTAGACAGTCAAGCATTGGAAAGAAGTCATGTGGTCCGACGAATCATGTTTCCAGTTGCATCATGCAGATGGCAGTGAGAATTTGGTGGAAACAGCATGAAAGCATGAACCCCACATTCATGAGTATATCCCTTCAAGTTGGCAGGAGCAGTGTTATGGTTTGGGGCATGTTTTCCTGGCATGATTTGGGCCCTTTAATTCGTGTGGAACAATGTCTGAATAGCATAACATACCTAAGTATCGTTGCTGATCAAGTTCATCCTATCATGTTGATGGCGTATCCCAATGGAGATGGCTTCTTCCAACAAGACAATGCACCATGCCACGGTGCTCGTATTGTGCAGGAGTGGTTTCAAGAACATGAGGGAGACTTTACCTTGCTTAGGTGCCCCCCCTCAATCACCAGATCTCAATCCAATTGAGCATTGGTGGGACGAAGTTAAAAGAGCCATCAGGCAGCTGGTTCCACAACCATCAAATCTCACAGAACTGGACAGTGCTATTCATCAGGCATGGTGCCAGATTCCTCGCATCACCTTTCAACATCTTGTGGAGTCAGTGCCAAAAAGAATTGCCAAAGTATTGAAGGCAAAAGGTGGCCCAACAAAGTACTGATGGGATGGTCATAATCTGGCCACTCATAATAATATATATCCCACATGCAAAGCCTGTTAAATCGCATTGTTTACCCATATCTTCAGAAAAAAATCACTTCTACTGTCGTGGTAAACAACCTGCTTACCTATTTATAATGGTCTGGCCCTCTAGCAACTTCAGCGTGAAATTATAGCTAATTGCCTACAAATATCAGGTGGTCATGATAATCTGGCCACTCAGTGTATATATATGTGTGTCTGTGTATATGTGTGTGTGAAAGAGGTAATATGCAAATTGACCATCACACCCTCACACAATATGGCTGCCCCCATGTGGTCACAAGATGGCCACCACAAGGTGGCCAGCAGGGGAGGGCAGTTGTGGGAGACCAGGCCTACAGGGGAGGGAGGGCAGTTGTGGACAACCAGACCTACAGGGGAGAGAGGGCAGTTGTGGGTGATCGGGCTGGCAGGGGAGCAGTTAGGTGTCAATCATGCTGGCAGGGGAGTGATTAGCAGTGATCAAGCTGGCAGGCAGGCGAGCAGTTGGGAGCCAGCAGTCCTGGATTGTGAGAGGGATGTCCAACTGCCAGTTAAGGCCCAATCCCACAGGGATCCCAGATTGGAGCGGGTGCAGGCTGGGCTGAGGGACAACCACTCCAGTGCATGAATTTTCGTGCACCAGGCCTCTAGTCTTTAATAAAAAGAAATTATATTTAACATTTGATATTGATCAGATAGACTGGCAATATGAGCTACAGAAACTATCGGTGATTTCCAAATCAGTTCCACATATGGTCTAATTAAATGTCTACAGAGCCAGAGATCTCCAAGTCTTTTGCTATTTCACGAATTCCCATGCAAATTTATTAGGCTAAAATTTCCTATAATCAAAAATGGAATCTGATCACAAAAATATGATTTGCTTTAACATATTTATATAACTTTTTGAGGAAATCAGGACTCAGTTCCCCTTCAACTGACATGTGAGGAAGTGAGACAACCATCAGAAAATGAAATAACTTTAAACATCTGAAATAGGGCGATGAAAGACTGAGGAAGTGAACTGAGAAAAGGAATTTATCTAGATGCCCTGAACCACAATTTCAGGAGGAAGACAACTACCCATGGATGCTCCAGGAGATCATGTGAAAGGAGTTAAGATTCAATGTTAGCAAAGATGTATAATTCACAGACAAACTGCAAACAGCCATAACAACCCCAAGCTGGGGAAGGCACTGGAAACACCTGCAGGTCATAGATGCTACAGTTCAGAATCACTCGTCCATGGATACATTCATCAATGTCACCTCTACCATAGGTATCAAAGCAAATGTACACATGCCATCATTAGGTTCCTTATTTTAACTAATTTTTTAAAATGAGAACTTTTTAGATTTTTTTCCTAGTAGACAAGATAATTTTCAGTCATCATATATGGTTTAAAAACAGTTTTCAATGTTGTAACCCTCCCACCTCAGAACTTTCTAAACAATTTTACAATTTTTGTGCTTTTATTTTTATTTTCTTAGCTTACTACAGAGTAAGATCAAAATTTATTTTGACTTCCTGTAAATATTAAATGGATAAGTGGTATATTATTATTCCTTAAAATAAAGTAACAAATAATTTATTTACGTAGTTGACGTAAATAAACGTAATAAACTACGTAAATAGTTACGTAGTTACTTAGTTTCTATAACTAGCGTTACTACTCACATGCTCTAAAAACTTGCCCCAGAAAAGGCTTATTTCCCAAAAATGTTATCTTTATTTCATGATTTTTTAAAGCATATGTAGCAGAAGATACTAAAATATTAAAATTTTTATGAATAAGAGATATAGTCAATGTTATGTGAATAGATGAGGAATAATGAATTA